GCCATCTTCCCATCGCTTCTTCCAGTGGGTGCAGGTGGAGTCTCTCTCTCTCTTCCCTGCTCTCCTGGTGGGCATAGATGGGTCAGGAGTTCGATGTCTGTAACTCTGGATGGTCCAAGCTCTCTAGGAAGCCCCACAATGGGGATCAAAGATCAGGCAGGCGGGACTAAGGGTGGTCCTGCGTGGATAGGCAGGTTCAGTGTGCTCAGAGCAGATTCAGGAAGTTCCATGGAGGTGGAGGGGTTGTTGGACCTGCACTCTGGCCCAATGCTCAACCAGAGCAGTGAGCAGTGGGCCCAGTAGGACATGGGGGGGGGCAGCTAGTTTTTTTTTTTTTTTTTTTTTTTTTTTTTTTAAGTTTTTCAAGACAGGTTTTCTTTGTGTAACCCTAGCTGTCCTGGAACTAGCTCTGTAGATGAGGCTAGCCAGGAACTCAGAAAGATCCACCTGCCTCTGCCTCCTGCATGCTAGGATTAAAGATCTGCACTAACACTGCCTGGTGAAATCAAGAATATCTTAATGTTTTGTGTCTGCTAATTCTAAAAGATCTCCCAGATGATTAGGGTCAACATAAAATAATGTTTAGGGAATATGAATTGTTTCTTCCTAGTTCTGTCAGATGTTAGAATCAATTGGTAATTGGTGGCTTTCTCCCCATTTTAGAACATTTAAGCATGCCTTTTGTAAATAGTGACAGTACTGTTGTATCTACCCTCAGTGTCATTTTTATCTTCCATGCTGTCTCACAAAGAATATCCAAACATTGTGTTTGGATTACAGGCTACTTTGCAGAATTTGATTAGGATCAGTATTAGTTTTAGCACAACTGGAATATTTTAACATGGAGGTATATTTGAGATCGTTATAATTAGTAAAATGGTTTCCCCCAAAAATACTTTGAAAAAAGTAATTTGTCTTTTTACATTTTTTTTCTGCAGTTTGAAGAGAATAGGTCTGATACAAGGTCTTACCCACATCTGCCTCCGAACACAGTAACTGCCAGATCTTCAAACATCAAGTTCAGCTTTGTCTGCCAACCTGTCTGACATGTCGGGACCCGTGCCAAGCAGGGCCAGAGTTTACACAGATGTTAACACGCACAGACCCCGAGAGTACTGGGATTATGAGTCACATGTGGTGGAATGGGGGTAATTATTTCCATTACTTAACTCTACTCACCCATAGTGCTGTATCTTGTAGATTTGTTGACTAATTCATGTCAGCAATTCTTCCCTGCCCCCTCCCTCCAAAGCTCAAGGACAAAGCTGAGCTTGCTTTCATGGGGCTGCAAGTTTATCATACAGCAGGTTGGTGATTTGGCAAGCTCATTTTCTGGGTTTGCAGTCTAAAAGTCATTGTCATTCCGTCTCTGGTCTATATAGTTTATGTATGAAGCTACTAACAAAGACTTACCTGTTAGCTTGCCTTCAAGCTTTAGCTACTACTCTGGAACCTTGGGAAAGTGAGGCGGGTAGATTATAAGTTTAGGGCTTGCCTGGGCTTCTAAGTTAAAAGCTAGCATTGAAGATATGTGAGAGACTTTGAAATCACCAAACTTAATTACTTAAGGTATTTTGGAGGTCAGAGTTCTGTCCCATGGTAATAATAAAGGATGAAATAGTTCTCTAGAAACAGAAACTTCTTTTGGACGAGAAGCAGGATTTAACCTTTATCCTTTCCATAACCCTAGTTCTGGAATGCAGCCCAATTGTATCCTCAAGAGCTGTAGCCTCCTTCAACAACTGTGTTTACTCTCATAGTTACCCATGAGAGGCTCATTTGCATTTCCTGTCTGATCATGGCATTTAATTGGAGAGTTTTGTCATATTTTGTAATAAAAACATTTTAATAGTTAAATACAAAATAAAACAATTTGAAAACTCAAAGATGTATAACTCAGCTAAAAGTGAGAAGCTGATGCCAGATGACCTTGAATTGGAGGTCAACCTAGTCTATGTAGTAAAACTTTGTTTCAAAAAAAAAAAAAAAAGTTAACTCCCATATATTGTATTTATATCTGATTTCATATGATTTTCTTTAGTCTGTAAGTGGTTAAAACTGTCTCCCTAAACTGTCATAGAACTGTCACAGGGTATGGTTTCCATTTTGGTATGCTGTAATATGTAACAGCAAGCAATTTTTCTACATATAAGGAGTCATTCTTGGCTTAGAGATACTATTAAGAACCATGGTACAAACCAATAAATGGTATCACTACTGATAATCTTAACAATTCTGTAATGTCACAGACTTTGAACTCTAGGTACTACCTGTGTTTACTGTAGAAATCTTAGTCTTCAAAAGCAAATGCTCTCATAGTGCTACTGCAATGATACTAGAGAGTCCTTTCAATGTGCTGTTTGCTTGTTTGTGTTAATTTATAACTCTTGCATAAGAGAACTCAGTGAACAGAAAGAGACCTGATAGTATTAATATTGCCCTTTGTTCTTAGTTCATTTTTTTCCTTTCATTGTCCTTTTTAACTGCTTGAGAAAATGAATGGCTGCTAATGGTACATACTGTATTATAAGAGTAAGTGGAAACCAAAAACAAAACAAGGCAGCAGTGGCACATGCCTTTAGTTCAGCTCTTGGGAGAGAGAGGCAGGAGGATCTTCATTAGTTTGAGAACAGCCTGGTCTACAGAGCAGGTTCCAGGACAGGCTCCAAAGCTACAGAGAAACCCTGTCAAAACTACAAAACCAAACTAAAAAAGGATAAGTAGAATTTAGCCCTCTTCCCCCTGTTGCTTAGCATTAAACCTAGTGCTTTGTAGATCATAGACAGGTACTCAACTGCTAGGCTATAGTACCAGTCTTTTTGTCTTTTCTTCCTTCCTTCCTTTCTTTCTTTCTTTCTTTCTTTCTTTCTTTCTTTCTTTCTTTCATAACATAGGGCCTCATGTAGCTCAGAGTGGCCTCAAATTTTCTGTCGAGCCTGGCATTGAACTTGCTGCCTCCACCTCTCTGGAACTGGGATTCAGGTGTGCACTAGCACATTTTTGGGCTATACATCAAGAATTCACGCACGGTAGAATGTTAACTGACCTTTTTGTTTTAGTTTGGGAATTAAAATTTAATGCACTTTATTTGATGGAGAGACTAGATTACATGTGCCACATGTGCTAAAGAACAATTTGGGAGTTGGTTCTTTCCATGCACCTAATGGGACCAGAGGTTGAAGTCGGTTCTTCTAACAAGCAAGGGGCTTTACCTTCTAAGTCATCTTGCTAGCCCATATTTATTTATTTTAAGATTTACCTGTTTGATATGTTTAAATGTTTTGCATGATATCCTCAGATATCAAGAAAGGAGATCAGCTCCCCTGGAACTGGAGTTACATATGCTCATGAGCCACCATGTGGGTGCTGGGAACTAAAGCTGGGTCCTCAGTAAGAACAAGTGCTCTTAACCACTAATTCATCTCTCCAGCTCCTTTTTTATGTTTTGGTATTTTTTGAGGTAGATTCTCATATACTAAGGATGAACTTGAACTCCTGGTCCTCCTACCGTTACCTCCCAAGTATTGGGATTTGATAATACAGCCATGTTCCACAAGTCCCACTTCATTTTTTTCTTTTGAGATAAAGTTTCTATAAGTGAAACAGGCTAGTCTTGAATTCACTCTGTGCCCCAGGCAGGCCCTAAATTTGTGGTCCTCTTGCCTCTGTCTCCCAAATAACTAGGAATAGGCATGCACTACCATACCTGGTAGAATTGGGTCTTGCTTGTTTGTTTTTGTGGCAAGCTTTCACTTTGTAGCCCAGGCTAGCCTCAGAGTTGCCATTCCCTTTCCTGAGCCTAAATCCTGGGATTACCTTTGTGGATCCCTGTAATGCCTGCATTTGTTGTTGGTTAGAGCTACGGTCTCAAGTAGGCAGCAGGGGGGGGGAGGGAGAGTATTAACATCTGCCTTATTCTTTACTCTGCCCATGACTTCTAGTGTCCTTATTAGTTAACCGAATGTGGGTAGACGCAGAACCTCTTTGGTTCATTATTTCTGATGTGGTTGCAAGCTTATTAAAAGTCAGATATTGTCCTGAAGGATCAAACCTATTTATATATTTGGAATCCACTTGTAGACAAAGAGGCTTGATAAGAAAGGGCTGCTTCCAGGTGTAGCTGAACTGTAATAGTCTTACATCGTTTGTTGAGTTCAGTGCCAATATTGGACCAGCTAGTATGAAGCAAGAATATACAAATCAGTTACTGAAGGGGAAGTAGCCTACTGTTGGAGACAAACATATACTTAAATCCCAATACAAGCTAACCATGTGTACTGTGCCATTAGATCATGAATAGTTGGAGATTTGAAAGAATATTTGAAAAGCTTAATAATGCTTATTGAGACCGATTATCAGTGTGCTGCTCCGTTAGAATCATAAAGAGAGACTTGAAAAATATTTAGAAAAGCTTAATAATAATTCATTTTCTTTTTAATGCCTATTGAAACAGAATCTCATGCAGCCCAGGCTAGCTTTGGAACTATGTAACTGAGGATAACCTTGAACTTCAATCCTCCTGTCTTCACCTCCTGAATGTGTACCATGTCTGGTTTACATGGTTCTGGGAACTGAACCCAGGGTCAGGTGTATGCTAGGTCAGCATTCTACCAATTGAGCAATTGCCCCTAATTTTTCTGTTTCTATTTGGTACATACATAATTTTAAATGTCCCAGGTTTGTTTTTTGTTTTTGTTTGTTTTTATATAACATTTAAAATATCTCTTACTTGTATTACTTCTGATGGTAATAGAGTTATCTGTCTATTTCTCTTTCCCTTCATGTGTGTGCATATTTCTTTTCCTTTCTTCAGAATCATTTGTAGGCTGTCAATAAGCTTTCTGTAACTAGCTCAGGATGACCTTGAATGCAGGTCTTCCTGTGTTCACCTGCCAAGGGTTGGAATTACAAACATGCACCACCATGTCTGGCAAAAATAGAGTTTTGCAAGTTGAAAATTTGATATTTTGAAATCATTGTCACTGTGTTTTTATCCACAGAAATCAAGATGACTACCAGCTTGTTCGAAAATTAGGCAGGGGAAAATACAGTGAAGTGTTTGAAGCCATCAACATCACAAATAATGAAAAAGTTGTTGTTAAAATTTTGAAGGTGAGTACAAGAAGAGAAATAATGTCAGAGTTGTTTGAATATGGAATTTATGCATATAGGTACCTTTTTATACGTGTTACATGAAAGATTTTCTTCCTCTAGTAATTAGCCTCCCTATTTATTATATCCTCTAAAGTCCCAGAACACCCAGTACTAGCTTGCTGGGTCAGACCTAAAGCAAAAGAGGAGATGGTTAGAATATGACCAAAAAGGTTCTTCTATCCTAATGTCTTACCTAATGTCCATTTCTTATTCTTTCAGTTCATTTTATGCTTTTGTTTTCAGTAAGCATCATTACCTCTGCTTTGTCAGAATAAGAAAGCAAGCACCTAATGTGGTATTACCATCTTCACTTCATCTATATGAGTGGTAGGAACTAAGACAAGCCTAGAAACGCTTGCTTCATCAGAAAAAGGAACTGTCTGTGTGTAGCACGATGGTAGACTTTTTGCTTAAAGTGCATCAGGACTTGGGTTTGATTCTTAGTGCTACAAAAACGGAGAAACAACCAGAATAACAGCTGGGAAGATTACTCATTAAAGTGTTTGCCATGCAAGTCTGAGGGACCTGGATTCGTATTTCTAGTAACCACCTAAAATAGAGACAGACATGGCAGTGGGTGCCTATAATTTCAGTACTGGGAATTTAGAGACTTGAATGTGTCTATTGGAAGGTGGAGGACTAGCAGATGCTTGCTCCCAGGACTGACCACCTCAGTTTAGTCTCTAGAACCCACATGGCTCATCTCCCTAAGTTGTGCTTTGATCTCTATACACATGCTATGGGACATATATAAAAGTAAATTTGAGGGGTGAGTGTGTGTGTGTGTGTGTGTGTGTGTGTGTGTGTTTCAAATGTGATATATATCATATTTATAACAAATGTAGTGCAGATGCAATTGAGGAGATGCACGTGCACCTATATACACCCTCCCCAATAAAAGGTGCTTCTTAGCTGCAGCTTACTAGTGTAAGTCTAGTGTTTCTTGATGCTTTCTTTTACAAAGAGAATTTAGAAAACAATATTTACTTAATCTGATATTTTAAATGTTGACTCTAGAAGATTGGAGAGATGACTCAGTGATTGAGAGCACTGGCTGCTCTTCAGAGGACCTGAGTTTTATTCCTAGCCTACATGGAAGCTCATAACCATCTTTAACTTCAGTCCTAGAGGTTCTGATGCCCTCTTCTGGTCTTTGAGGATATCATTCACACGTGTGGTACACATACATGCAGGCAAAACACCCATGCATATACAATTTTAAAAATAAAATTTTGCTTAAGGTTCTTTGAATTTTTACACAAGTCAGATTTAGCCAGTGGGCTGTCCAATGTGCCTCTTCTACTCATTATTTATTAATTAATGTGCTGCCTGCTGTGCTGTATTATACTGGGGACTCAGCTCATAGTTCCTTGTCACAGAGGTGTGTGTTGCTGCCAAGAAGCAGAAGTTCCCAAACACTTTCCGTTTGTAGCATTTTTCTTGTCTCACAAGTTTTTTTTTTTTTTTTTTTTTTTTTAATGGTAATCCACAGGGAAAACAAAAGCACATACACATCTAAAAACACAAAACGCTATTAGCCATTTTATAAGAAAATTGTATTTCTTTAAAGAACATTCAGGGGGCAAAGCAGGAATATTGGTATGAATTTGAAGCCACCTAGGCTATAGGGAGAGTGTACAGGAAGGAATGAACCCACCCCCTTTTTAACACATTAAAAGCTTTATTTTAACATTATTTCTTTACTTATTTTGTGGGTCTTTGGAGATCAGAATACATCAAGAGTTGATTCTCTCCTTCCAGCACATGGACTTGGGACAAATCTCAGAGAATCAGCATTATTGGTGGAGAGTACCATTATAGGCTGAGCCATCTCTCTGGCCCCATTAAAAGGTTTTTGTTTAAAGATCTACTATGTTGCCATTTTAAATGGTGGTTTGCAAGGTTTTAAAGTGTGACATAGTGCAATTAAATTGGAAACTAAATGGTAATTCTGTGTATATCTAGCTTTTGGAGTAGAATATGTAAGTGCCTGGTAGTGCTGAGAGAAGGGGTTCTGAGAAGTCTGTCACATTTCTTTCTTCAGGAAACCCGTATAGAAGCTGTTTTGTATTACAGTAACTGTGAGATATACTCAGAAATATTTCTGTGTGTGTGTATGCTGATATACTTTTACCATTTCAGCCAGTAAAAAAGAAGAAAATTAAGCGTGAAATAAAGATTTTGGAGAATTTGAGAGGTGGTCCCAACATCATCACACTTGCAGACATTGTAAAAGACCCTGTGGTATGTACAGTCATTGTTAAAAGATCTACCAGGGCTCAGGTGGTGTTGGACTCAAAGTACACCTTAGTTCTGTTTTCACTACCCTACCATTAAATACTGTTTTATTGTTCTAAATCAGTTACACATTTAACCAGCTTAGGTCCTGCCAGAGATAATACACACATGTACATATGTACACACAAAGTCTTATTGTAGCCTAGGAGGTTAATAACCTTAAAAACCAAATGTGTTAATCTAATCTGCAAATTTAGGCCTAATGCTAGTGGGCAATAGGAATATTGTTGGGTTCCCTAGAGCCTTGGGAGATTTCAACTTGGGATATTTCTATAAAATCCTTCCAAAAATAACCTAAGTGGTAATGATCAAGTGGGCAAGGTTACTACTGCAGCAGACTACCATAGTTCACACACAATGCCCATAAGCTGAAAACTAAAGCTGCCAGGGCCAGTACTAATGTATTTTCTTTTTTCTTTTTCCCTTAGTCGCGAACCCCCGCCTTGGTTTTTGAACATGTAAACAACACAGACTTCAAGGTATCATCCATAAGCAACCATTTCAAACTACTGGATTTTTAGATCATACAGAAAGTTTTTTTGGGATGACAGTGTATAAAGAGCTTGATTTTTGCTTATTGAGTTTTGCCCCTAGTTGATCAGCACTAAAAGTAGTATCTGTTTTTCATATCTTGATATTTTACACTGGTATTTGTTTAGTGATGTTTTAATAACTATTTCTTTTACACCTTACCATATTTATCATAGATTTAACAGTTTCTGCTGGTGTATAGGCTAGTGGAGGTGACAGTGCATGTTGACTTTAGGCAGCAATGTTCAAGAAAGAATAAATTGTATATATAATAGTAGGGACTAAATGCATATTCCATAAAATCTTAGGGACTTCAGGCTTACTCTTTTTCCTTGTTCTTATTCTGTTGTATGTTGAGTCCAAATCTTGAGAGTTTAAAGTGCCTGGCAATTCAGCTTCCTTTGAGCTGCCCTCCCTCCCCTGGGGTATGGATCATAAAAGATAATGAGAAGAGGTCATGTAAGATTTTGCTATAATACAAACCTGTACAATACATATCTCTGCAGATTCTTGGGTGGCCTACTTATTCAAACAGTTCTATTCCAGTATAATGTAGGCATTTTCCTCAAGTACATATTTAATAGAATTTGACTTGCCTTTGTACAAGTCAAGTATCAGGAATGTTAGTATCACTAAACAGGTGGTTTATTTTGTTTGAAAAGGAGAGAAAAGAGAAACTATTATAGATACTTTAGAATCAGAATAATAAACTCAAAAACTGTTAAGAGAACATCACTCACCATTTAAAGGTAATCAGATGTAAAAAATAACCTGCAGCCCTTTTAGAAACTGGAAAAGTTACATTGCAGCTGTTTGTAGAGTGTATGGTCACACTAGACTGGAATAGTTCTATTTAGTTGAATCAGCAAATTGGTCTCTACATTTTCATATCCACTGGTGATTGTAGTACCAAGTGTGTAGGCACATGATGGGGTATTTCATTTCACTACTACAGAGGTTGCCTACCAAAATGTGTTTGAAGGGACTTAGAAGGTAAAATGGAAAAGTGTATCAGTGCATGTTGTGTCAATCATATGTATAGGTAGATTCCAACATTGCATTATAGCTTCTATATGTATTTACATTATCCTTTACCTTTACTTATAGAGGTGAAAACTCCAAGAGTCTCTTGAAAGTGATTTTTTGGTGGATAGAAACCATTTGAAAAACAAATCTTGGGACCATGGTGAATGAGCCAATCTTAGTTGAAATAACTATTAATTAGGGTGAGAAAATTGTCTTCTTAGTACTGTTTTATAGCTTAAATAATTTCATTTGTCTTTAACAGCAATTGTACCAGACATTAACAGACTATGACATTCGATTTTACATGTACGAAATCCTAAAAGTAAGTAGCTGTAGGTACTAAGTATTTTTAAATTGGTCTTTGCTTTGTCAGGCGGTTTATTTGATGATGGAAAAACCAGGGAATTAACTTTGTAATGTATGCTGAAATCAGGGAGCTTCAGCAGTAGTTATAAACTGTTTTTAGTGTTGGACCCTTGGGTAAAGTCTTGGTAATGAAATGGAGTGCAGTAGAACTATAGCTATAGAACATGTGGATTTTTATGTGACAGGGCTTCTTAAGCAAGGCTGGCCTACAACTCACAAGGCAGCCCAGTCCAGGGTGACTTTCTTGATGATCTTCCTACCCCAGTCTCCCATATTCCAGAACTCACAGTTAATGACCCACCACACCCAACTTTAGGATGCTTTAGTTTTGTTTGTTGCAGTTTTTATTCTGTGATGCATGCCAAACAAGATACTTTACTAATTAGCTAAATCCCCAACCCTAGAATGCTTTAAAGAGAACCAAGAATGGAAATGGCAGTGTGAAAGCATTTTTTTTTTTTTTTAATATGTGCTAGCCGCTAATACACTTTATTTTACTTAGGATGCAACAAATGACACTGGCCTGGAGGTGCAGGCCTTCCTGTAATCCCAGTATGAGGACTGCCACATGTTTGAGGCCAGCCTGAGCTACAGAGTGAGACTGTTAAGAAACAAGATTAAAATAGAGATTCTTGAACTCAGCCCTAAAAGGGTTATTGTTCTAAGGACAGTAAATTTCCACTGATGACTAGTGGACTTTGATTTCTGACATGAGATCACAAATTATCTTGCTGCTTAGTAGTTGCAAGATCATCTTTATAAGGAGAGAATTGCTTAGAGTAGGCTAAGTTTTCTTATTAATCATATGTTAATACCATGCCAGCAGTTTAAGCTATAAAAGTATCAAAAGAAAGCTAGGCATATTTGTACATGCTGTTGATCCCAGCACTAGCGAGGAAGAGGCAGGCAGATCTCTGGTTTTGAGGCCACTCTGGTTTATATAATGAGTTCTAGGCCGGCCAGAGTTACATAGTGAAACACTGTTTCCCCTCCCCCTCAATAGCATCAAAGGATAATACCTGCAGAGACATTTGATCTTACATTGGCTCATGTGGAAAACCGACTTTAGCCATAGACATATTTGCCCAGCCCTGCAAACTAGAATCCCAAGTAGTTCTTCAGGAAGAACAAGAACTTAGCTAATGGCAAACTCAAAGGTGTGTTGCTCCATTCACTGTAACTTAAGCTTATGAATTGTATTCAAATTTAATAGATGACCTAGATCAGGAGTTGACAAATTTCTTTATAGGGTTGAACTCTGTTGTTATAGCAAGAAAATAGCTATGGATGGTGTGTATAAACATAGACATAGTTGTGTGTAGGTAAAACATTCCTATATACAGGCAGCTAGTGATTCACCCCACTCTCAGCTACTGAAGAAATTACTGTTCTTTAAATAGAATCTTGGTAGGTTAATTTTCTTCTGAGGGGACTGTGTTTATAGTCATACTTTAGGCTTTGGATAAGAAGTTGTGTGTTTTTGTACACTTGGTCTTTCTGAAATAAGTAAAGAGCAGTACATGCCTATAGTCCCAGCACTAGGAGGCTGAGGCAGACAGGTTGACAGGAGTTTAAGAGTAGCATAGCAAGACCCTTTTGAGAGAGGGAGATGGAGATGAGATGATTTTGTAACTTGAATATGAGAGCCCTAAGTGTTTTTGACTGTATGAACCAGGTCTTGAGGAATAGCTGAGAGTGGGTGTCCTAATCCTGATTCCCTGGATTGTTGTGAGGCTATAAGAAAAACTGACATGGAGGAAAAAATAGCTTAAAACAATACCTCATGGTAGCAAATTTTTCTTTGTTTCAGGCCCTGGATTATTGTCACAGCATGGGGATTATGCACAGAGATGTGAAGCCCCATAATGTCATGATTGATCATGAGCACAGAAAGGTAAAGTCATAGTCAAACTTTTATAAATATGATGAAGTTAGCAGTTCATATTCAATCCCTATTGTCTGTCTTAGTCCTTAGTACCTGTTAGGTACCTTATAAATACTTTGCAGTTGAATGAAATAGTTAAGTCTTCATGTTCAAACCATTATTCATATTCCTAGGTATACTGTGAAGGAAACAGGATAGTGAGCAAGACATTGATTCAAGCCAGGAAGTCTGTCTTCCATTCTTATTAAGTAACTGATTTGTTAAATTCTTTTCACTTGCTGAATTAAAACAAGAATAACAAATCTGTACAAGGATTTATTATTTTCCCTCAGTGTCATTAGATTTGATATGAGAATTAAAAACTCATGCTTGGGCTGAGTATGATGACATATGACCTTAATCGCAGCACAGAGGCAGTGGAATCTCTTGAGTCCCAAGGCCAGGCTGGTCTACGTAGCAAGTTTTAGGGCTGTATAGGGCTATATACTAAGACCTTGTCTCAAAAAATAAATATTTAAGGAGGAGGCAGTGGTGTGGTGCATGCCTTAAACCCTAGAACTAGGGAGGACGGACGGACGGACACAGAAAAGCTGGATGGATGGATGGTCGATAGATAGACAGACAGACAGACCGACCAAGAAACCTATGACCTTTATAAATGCTGTAATGGCAGCATGCTTTTTAATATTTCAGATTTTGTTTATGGGGGTATGTGGATGTGTGTAACCTGTACAAGTCAATGTCATGTCTTCATCTATCATTCTTTGTTATTTCAATCAGGGTCTCTCATTGAATCTCCAGCTAGAAGAGTTCACTAATCTAATCTCTCTGGCCAGTGTCCTCAGAAATGCTCCTGTCTCCATCTCCCAACCTCTGAGATTACAGACATATTCTGTCACACCTAGTTTATAACATGAGTTAGGTTTTCATATTTATACAGCAGGCAGACACTTTATTACCAAACCATCTCCCCAGTCACGCACGCACGCACGCACACACACACACACACACACACACACACACACGTTTTTGTTTTGGTTTTAATTTGTGTGTGATTTGAAACAGGCTCTCTCTATGTGGCCCTGGCTGTCCTGGAACTCACTATGTAGACCAGGCTAGCCTCAAACTCACAGCAATCCACCTGTCTGCTTCTGCCTCCTGAGTGCTGGGATTAAAAGGCATGAGCCACTATATATACTTTTTGTTTTCCTTTTTGAGACAAAGTTTTACTCATTGGCCATCTCTCCCCACCTCCCTCTCTCCTCTTCGTCCTCCTTTTTTGTTTGTTTTGTTTTTGAGACAGCTCTGACCTCGAGCTCACTGGATCTACCTGTCTCTGCCTCCTAAATGCTGGAAGTAAAGGCATGTGTTACAGCATCCAGACTGATAAAATCTTTTTTAAAAATCTGTTATTTTGTCAAGGGAGGGTGTATATGAGTTTGGGCATGTATATACCATGGCATATGTATAGAGATCAGAGGAAAACTTTCATGTCAATTTTTTCCTTCTACCATGTGAGTCCTGGGGCTTGAACTGAAGTCATCAGGCTTGGTGGAGAGTGGTGCAACTCAAGGCAGTGTCTTGTTATGTATCTTAGGCTAACTTTGAACCCATTATAAAAAGAGGATAACTTTGAACTTCTGATCCTCCTGCCTGTATCTTCTGAGTGCTGGGATTACAGTGTGTGTCTCCATGTCCAGTTTATGTGATGCTGGGGGTTGACCTCAAGGCCTTAAACATGGTACACAATCATTCTTGTGTGTGTTTGTGTTCAGGTATATGTATGTCAATCTTGGGTTTTCTTCCTTTGGAGTCATACGTCTCTGGTTTTTGTTTGTTTGTTTGTTTGTTTGTTTGTTTTCAGACAGGGTTTCTTTTTGGCATCTGGCTCACTAATTTGATAGCCGGCTAGCCAGTGTGCTATGTGGGTCATCCCACCTGCCATTACTTCCCTAGTGCGGGGATTATAAATTTGTGCTACTTTGCCTGGTGTTGTTTGTATTTATGTGTGTGCTGAGGTTAAAACTCAGGAAATTCAGGTGATGAATTAATACATTTTCTGACACATACCTTGTCACAGGTTCTTTGAGGCTGGAGGTATATGAATGAACAAACAAAAAATACTTGTCTCTAAAGAGGTTACATTTCAGTCAAGTGGGTAACTAAAGCCATTGTGCAAGCAGTCTCAATATTTGGGAGACTGAGCCAGGAGATTGCTTTGAGTTCAAGGCCAACATGGCTGTAAATAGTGTGACCCTGTTTCAGAGAGGTATTAGAAAGGGAAGGAAGGATGGAGGGATCAGGGAATAGGCAATGACAGATCACAGAAGATATTTAACTAAGGGATATGTTGCAATTAGTTAGGGTTTCTATTGCTATGATTAAAAACCATGCAACTCGGAAAGGGTTTATTTTAGCTTATCGTTCCACAGCACAGTTCATCACTGAGGGAACCTGGGGGGAGGGGGGGCGGGAGCTGAGGGCTATGGGCAGGGACCATAGAGGAATACTGCCTACTGGCCTTCTTGATCTTGGATTGCTCAACCTACTATCTACCATCCATGGCAACCTGTTTTGTAAGGGGATGGCTGGTAGCCCCATCCACAGTGATCTGAACCCTCTCACATATAATCAGTTAAGATAGTGTAACAGGCTTGCCTGCCTGCCAGTCTGGTTGGGCATTTTCTCAATTGAGGTTTCTTCTTCTCAAATGACTGTAGCTTGTGTCAAGTTAAAATAAAACTAGCTAGCACAGTGTAGGATATCCTAAAGGGTTCCATTGGAAAAGTAACAATTTTGAGAGCACTGGAGTAGACCCAGCAGTACAATGTAAGAAAGAAATATATCCCAAGAAGAAAAAGAATTTCTTTCCCCAAGTAAGTTAATAAATTCTAGGGCAGACATCAGCATAGTATAATCTAATCTGATTCAGTTGTAGCACTGACTACCTAGACATTGTATTAGATTCCTAAGGCTTCCTCTTCTTCCCTGTCAGCTGCTGGCTACAAGCCCCATGTTGTTCTCTACACTTCTGAACAACTGGCTATTACATTTTTTACACAATCCTTCTCTGGTTCAGTTTGCTAAAACCTTTCAGAATTTAGGTAAATAGATTTACTGCTTTGTTCAAAATGATATGAACAATGACAACAGGTGGAGAGATGAGCTGAGGGCAAGGTTTGTGGGGAGTTGTGCAGAGCTTCTATGCCATCTCCCAGCACACTGCTTTCTAGGAACTGCCACTTAGCTGTCCAGAAGCTCCTTGAACTCTACTGTGTTTTTCTTTTTGTTTTTTAAATTGCAATAAATGTGATGAAGTGTGAATAGCCAAATAGCATGTTGTAGGCTCAGATGGAAAACAAGTAAGACTACTCATCTTTTCACATTCCCTAGATGTGACACAAGACCCATTGGAAAAGGGTATCTTCATATGTGGTCTGCCAAAACACATTTTCATACAAGCTTCTGTGATCTGGCTTAGAAGAGAAGCTTCTATTGTTTACTTACAAGAGAAAAAGGAAGAGGGAAACAGTACACAGGGGGAGTTTTGTTCTCTGAGGCCTGCACTATGCCAGGAACTCAGGCTAGGAATGGAGCTAGGATCAAAGACAAGCACACAAAGAAGACCAAAACTTTACCAAAAACTATGTTTATCTTTTTAGAAATTTAGAAAATATAGACATTGTGGAAATTAGCCAGAAACCATGAATGAAAAACTGTGGGTATTAAAATCATAATATCACAATATGCTCTGCTGGAATACCAACACAGGTAAAGCTGAGACAGAAAGGAAAGAAGGGAATGAGGTCAGAGGGGAAGAGAACCTCCAAGTCATATGTTGTTCACAGACCTTTTCTCTGAAGATGGGGATCGGGGTCTGGACAGTTGGGATGTTGAAATTTCTGCAGGAGTAGTAAAAATAGCTAAGTGAAAACGCAGCAATGTTGCAAAGTGCTGGCAAGGATGAGAACAACTAGCTGAGGGTACCTTCTCGGAGTACTCCCGTGTCAGAATGAGAGTGATTTGAAGATGCAGTAGTTATATGTGACGCATTCTCTCCCTCCCTCTCTCTCCCTCTCTCGCCCTCCCTCCCCCTCACTCCATCCTTCTCTCTCTCTCTCTCTCCCTCTCTCGCCCTCCCTCCCCCTCACTCCATCCTTCTCTCTCTCTCTCTCTCTCTCTCTCTCTCTCTCTCTCTCTCTCTCTCTCTCTCTCTCCCTCTCAGCTAAGACTAATAGACTGGGGCTTAGCTGAATTTTACCATCCTGGCCAAGAATATAATGTCCGAGTTGCTTCCCGATACTTCAAAGGTCCAGAGCTACTTGTAGATTATCAGGTAAGAGGAAAATGGCAAGTACCATGTTGTTCCTTTGCACAGATTTTGCAGAAATGTCAGTTTGTGCTTTGAGTAAGCCATTTATCATATTCATAGCTGTCCTTTTTAAAGTAAAATGTAACAAATATATGAGCTGTCTTTTGTAACATGCTTTGTTTGTTTGGTAATGTTAAATTATGGTTCTGAATTTACCAAAGAAAACCAGAAGATACAATAGTAAGAGGTTCTCTTGATCCAGGAGGCATGTTGTATATAACTTGTAAACCAGCTTTTAGGAGATAGAGGCTGAAGAATCAGTTCAATTAAGGCCAGCCTGGACTACATGAGACACTCTTTTACAAAGAAAAAATCTCCTACATGTCTCCTAAATTGAGCCTCAAATATAAAGAACCCCCCCCCTCCATAATACACATTCCAGGCTTGGTGGTTCACACTGATTTCCTTGCACTTGGAAGCCAGAGTGAGGCAAGAGAATTGCCACAAGATTGAGATCTGCCTTTGGCTATAGTATAAGACCCTATCCCCACATTGGAAGAAAAAAAAAGGTGGGAGAAATGGTTCAGAAGTTAAGAACACTTAGGGCTGGAGAGATGATGGCTCAGGGTTTGAGAGTACAGGATAACTGGGCATTGGTGGCACATACTTTTAGTCCCAGCATTTGGGAAGCAGAGACAGGCAGATCTCTGTGAGTTCAAGGCCAGCCTGGCCTACAGAGTGAGTTCCAGGACAGGTTCCAAAGCTACACAAAGAAACTCTGTCTCAGGGGAAGAAAAAACAAAACACAGGCTATTCTTCCAGAGGTCCTGAGTTCAGTTCTCAGCAAGTACATGGTTGCTCACAACCATCTGTAATGAGATCTGGCACTCTCTTTTGTCATGAAGGCATCCATGCCCAACAATGGAGGTGAACACCTTTAATCCCTGCATTCAGGAGGCAGAGACAGGTGGATCTCTATGAGTTCCAGACCATCCTGATCTATGAAGCTATTACACAAAGAAACCTTATGTCAAAATAAATAAATAAACAGATAGATAGATAGATAGATAGATAGATAGATAGATAGATAGATAGTATGGGCGTTTTGCTCAGCTGTCTGTCTTAAGTATCACATTCATGCCTGGTACCCATGGAGGTCAGAAGAGGGCACTGGATTCCCTGCAATGTGGGTTCTTGAACGCTAATCTGGCTCCTCTGGAAGAGCAGTCAGTGTTCCTAACCAATGAGCCATCTCTGCAGCCCCAAAATAAGTCTTTGTGGAAAATAAAAAGATTTACCTAGTATTTTAGAACTCTTCAGGAGACACTTGTTAACAGATGTCTTCAAGTTTCAGGATCTGCCCCCTAAGTTGCATCTCTAGAATTCTAAGATTGTAACCTTGCCAGGCATGGAGGTATGTTATGCTTTAATCACAGCACTCAGGAGGCAGAAGCCGGCATCTCCATGAGTTCAAGTACAGTCTGGATGACATAGTGAGGATAGCCATGACTATACAGTAGTACCCTGTCTCAAAAAGTTTACTGGGTTGGGTAGGTCTTCTCCCCTCTGAAGGGGATCCTTGTATTTCTTCACATAGTAAAATTGCAGGTTTTCTTACCAAATGAAGAAAGCAATTCAAAGTAGTATGGCAATTTTTTTTAAAAAAAAACTGGGTTGAAGAGCTGAGGTTGCTCAGATGTTAAGAGCACATATTGTTCTTGTAGAAGATCCAAGTTAGTTCTCATAGCCACCTGTAACTTCAACTCTAGGGAATCAAGGGTCCTTGATGAGTGAAGGGTACTTTCATTCATGTGCACATATACTCCAATCACCCTGTACACAAATACACGTAATTAAAAATAAGTCTCTGGGGAGAAATAAAATTGGATTTAAAAAACAAACAAACAAAAAATTAGCTGGGTAAAAGAAGCCATAAAAAGACTGAAAAGGGGGGTATATGAATGTATGAATGGGTTATTGGTGTTTCACAAAGTGAACTTTAAAATTCTTTTTTAAATGTCTATTTTGTATCTGGAAGTGACAAGCCTTGGAATTCATGTGATAACAATGTTTTCTTTACTACAGATGTATGATTATAGTTTGGATATGTGGAGCTTGGGTTGTATGCTGGCAAGTATGATCTTCCGGAAGGAGCCATTTTTCCATGGACATGACAATTATGATCAGGTGATAGCATGTTATTCCCTTAAGAAATTTACTGACCTAGTATAAATGTGGCCATATCTGCAAACTCATAAGAAATTTTATTGGGTCTGGGCTACAGAGTGTGTTCACTGTCATTGTGGGCTACAGGGTAAGTTCCAAACCAGCCTGAGCTACAATGTTTAAAAATTAAAGACCTATCCAGATGTTGTTTTGCATTCCTTTAGTCCTAGCACCTGGGAGACAAGGGCATGTGAGCATGTGGGTTTCTGAGTCCTTAGGCCATTGTGGCCTACCCACCCCCATGATAACTCATACCTTTAATCTTAGCACTCAGGAGGGAGAGGCAGCAGGTGTCTTTGAGTTAAAGGCCAGCTTGGTTTACACAGCAAGTTCCAGGACAGTCAGAGCTACATACAGTGAGCCTGTCTCAAAAATTAAAAAAAAAAAGAAAAAAAAAGGTTTTTGTTTTTGTTTTTTTTTGTTTTGTTTTGTTTTGTTTTTATGTAAAGTACAGTTGCCCCATACTACCACCATTCCAAATCTTACCTCCAAGTCCAATTCATAATACACAATATTTTAGAATTCTCTACTTATATACTAGTTCTTGGAGCAGCCCAATTTATTAACCTTTAGACATCAGAAACACATACACACCATTTCTTTTTGACGTTTTTCTTTTGCTTCTTTATAAAGTATGCATATACTGGGGCTGGAGAGACAGCTTAGTGGCTTAGAAGTTTGTTGCTCTTACAGTTCTTAGCACCAACATCATTTTAGCTCACAACCACCTGTAAGTCCAGTCCTGGGTAATCTGATCTCTTCTCCTGGCTGCCCTCCATGAGTACAGCACAGATGTGGTATGCATACATATATGAAAAGATTGCTTTTTTTCTTGGGGGTGGGGCATTAAATAGTTTTCAGAAAATGAAGTGGTACATGCCTTTAGTCCCAGCACTCAGGAGGTAGTGTGAGTAGGAGGACAGCTTCATCTACAAAGACAGTTTCAAGACAGCCAAGGCTGTTACACAGAAAAGAAAACAAAAGCTGGAGAGATGGGTCAGTGGTTAAGACCACTTGTTGAACTTGCAGAGGACTTGAGTTCAATGCCCAGCACCTACATGATGGTCCACAACCATTTTTTATAACTCCAGTTCCAAATTATTTAACTCCCTCTTGGCCTCTGTAGGCTCTAGTCATGCATATGGTAGACAAAACACCAATGCACACAAAATAAAAATAGTTCTTTTAGACTTTCTTCCATGTGTCAGCTTATATTTAATAGTGCTCTAGTCATTTTCTCCATATAAATGAGTTTAGGTAGGTAGGTGTTTGTGTGTGTGTGTGTGTGTGTGTGTGTGTGTGTGTGTTCATTCATTCAACAGAAATGTATATGGAACCAAGAAAAGTAAGATGTCTTTAACTAAAGACAACCACCAGGAAGTTAAAGTCTACAGCTTTGTGTCGCCATACAGAACTGAAGGGATATGGGGGTGAAGAGGAACACCTTCAAATAGCTTGTTGTCTGTCTATAGGCAAATCCAACAGTAAAGCAGTTGGCTATAGTAATGTAAATGCAAAAGTGTGACAAGTTCCAAAAGATACATCATTGTTTGAGTTGTGATGAGGAACAAAGATTATCAGGGGGACTTTCAAGGAGAGAAAAAAAAAACAGGCAATATAGTTGGCTTTTTCTAACATTTTCACATTGAGTTGACATACGGATTCTATAGGAAATAACCCTTCTACACACCAAAATTTGAATTAAAACATTGAGGGGTAATACTTATTTGTAGGGCATATCAGTATCTTTTATTTAATTCATTTATTATTCGTTACTGATTTGATCATATGTTTGTGTTGGTTTTGTTTCTTCAATATTAGTTGGTCAGGATAGCCAAGGTTCTGGGAACAGAAGATTTATATGACTATATTGACAAGTACAACATTGAATTAGATCCACGTTTCAACGATATCTTGGGCAGGTAAGTCTCTCTCTCTCTCTCTCCCCTTCTCCCTTTCCTTCTCTCTCTCTCTCCCTCTCTCTCCCTTTCTCCCCTCTGTGGTTTGGCCTTTTGGATCCCGGAAATTGTCTTGTTCTCTTTGCCTGAAGTATAAGGTTCTGGTGTGGTGCTGCAGAGTACTATTTGAGCATACTTGATAACATCATATTGAATGGCCTTCTGTCTAAATTCACATAGAAAAGTCTTGAGTGTGACTATTACAGTCAGATGGTTCCTGTGAAGGGAATTTAAGTAAATGTAAGATCTAAGTAGAAGAACACAGTTGGATCAAACTTCAAAGTCTCTCCTAATATGGTTTTCGTCTTCAATGGCAGTACTTTTTGAACAGAGAAATAGACTGATTTGCTGACAGCCTCCTGGCAGTGCTGAGACAGACTAGGAATGCACTGGCCACTTCATATGAGGACGTAGATACAGAAGTAAAGGCACTTACTTATCTGCCAACTGGCAGAACTGGCCAAGTATGATGATGGGGGAGGAATACTACTGGCTGGCTCAGCCACCTGACTGCTTCACAAGTACCTTAACAACCTAAAGTGTGTTTCTTCAGAGGGGGAAGGCTCAGGTTTCTCCTTGGTGCAACACTGTCATTTCCAGTTGCCAGTTACTAGTTACCTTCTATCTGTGGGTGTTATCCTTCTGTAATACAGTAATGATTCAAGACTGTTCTTTGGATCTTATCGCTGTTTGCTTTTTGTTGGTTCTGCAACCTGTGACTCATTTCTAATTTTGCCTTATAGACACTCTCGTAAGCGATGGGAACGTTTTGTCCACAGTGAAAACCAGCACCTTGTTAGCCCTGAGGCCTTGGATTTTCTGGACAAGCTCCTGCGATATGACCACCAGTCAAGGCTCACTGCGAGAGAGGCCATGGAGCACCCTTACTTCTGTGAGTCCAGTTGTGTAGCCCTTCACTGCTCAGCGGACTATATGAGGCAGAGGAGAATTTATGTTGTAAACAAGGTTCTAAGTGTTGTAAATCAGATCTAGAATCTAGCTCCTATTCGTCTGCCAAAATGTTAGTTTACTCATTCTGACATTCTGAGCCTTGTTTTTTCAGCTGAGAGGCACTGACAGCAGTTGTCAGGCGCAATTATTGGTAAGAGGGCTGGGGATATCACAGTATGGTGAGGCCTTCAGTTTAATCCACAGTGCTACCAAAAAAGGTACATTATAATGCTTTAATGAAATTTCACTGTCTACCAGACTACCAGAATATGGTTCATGCCCATATTCCTGTACTTGGGAGACATAGACAGAAGGTTCACCAAAAGTTCCAAATCAGATTAGGCCACATCATAACAAGCCAGGCTAGGCTATAAAATAAGAATGAATGAATGAATGAATGAATGAATGAATGAATATATATATTGTTTTGTTTTGTTTTTTTTTTTTTTTTGCAAAGATGTTTTTCCTATAAACATTTATTTTCCTACCAATTCTCAGTGACTGGTTTGACCTAGTTGAATAAAATAGGTCTTTTTCTTTCTTTCTTTCTTTTTTTTTTTTAATATTACATTTTTTTTTTCCATCCCCAAAAGGTGGTTTATCCAGAAACCAAGAAAATAAAAATCAGAATAAACTCAAAGGGAGAAACCTGTCCACTCACTACCAGGCAGGCAGGCCAGCAGCCAACTTCCACCGCAGGAGGTCTCCAGAGACCCCTGCCCACCGCAAACAAGGGGAAGATCAGGAGGGGCTGAGAGAGCACTGAATCAGCTATGTCTTCATTACAAGAGTGAGAGAGGTGGCAGAGATGCGGCTAGATGGATATATAGAATAAAATAGGTCTTAACCTGTTCCATGTCTACTAATCATTTGTTGGAGAGAGCCAGTACTTTACAAGTCTTTACTGTTATATAAACCATTAAGGTTTATGGGTATATAGCCAGCTATCCTTTTGTGAGTGAAATGATACTCCTACCCATTCTAGACTCACCATGCTGTTTGTTTCAACATTGGATTGTTCCCTGAGGAATAGTGCAATGATTTTCCAATTAGTCTGGTACCTTGAATGGATATTTACTTATCTTCTGACCTTTGTTATACTCAGAATAGGTTTTTAACCACAGTTCTACGGGTCATGTGTTGATTATGCACTATTTATTTGATTCATGTTGAAGGTATTTGCCACTTTATGTTCTAAGAGTGAGTGAGTGAGTATAAGTTAATGGTAAATATTGAAGATAGCTACAGTTACTTCTCCCCAACTAGTTTAGTACATCAAGCAGAACAGAACCTAACTCTACTATCTACTTTCTAGACACTGTTGTAAAGGACCAGGCTCGAATGAGCTCATCCAGCATGCCAGGGGGCAGTACACCTGTCAGCAGCGCCAATATGATGTCAGGTTGGTGATTGGTAACTTCTCTTTTTAGAAAATTTAGAAGAAAGTTACTATTCTTAGTTTCACTTCCTTCTGTTTATTTCTTGTGTACCTTTTCTTCCCTGTAAAATGGTGGGCATGGGTAGGTGTGAGAACATTAACATGCATTGTGTGGAAGCCAGAGGTTAGCCTCAGACGTGGTTGCTAGGGAGCCATCACTTTGTTATTAAGAGTGTGTTTACCTGAGTATATGCATGTGCACCATGACATAGACTTTCTCCCTAGGACCCACCAATTAAGTTAGACTAACTGGCCAGACAGCCCCAGGGATCTGTCTTTTTCCCCCTCCCAATCCTAGGTTTGCTCCTTCAACACAGCTTTTTACATGGGTGCCTGGCCTCAAAAATTGGTCAGTGGGTAAATATAATCTATGCTGCTAAATAATCTGGAAGTAATTTTAGTGACACTGTCTTGAGTAGGATATCAACAATGTCTTCCCTTCAAAGCTCCAGTATCCCTACAGAAAATTTCTTGCAGGGACTTGCATTCCCAACAAATCATGAAGAACAAAGAGATTTATATATGTTTGTTTGTTGTTATTGCTATTTTGAAACAGGGTCTTTCATATTTTTCACAATATGCTCCTTTAAATTTTTCATATTTTTTGAACCATGTATTAAAATCTCCCACATTCATGGTTTTACTTATGATCCAAAAATACAGTTTGTCTAGAATCTATCAAGATTCATATAACTTTTGTTATTTTTTTTTTTTGTTAAATTGTTCTATGACTGTGCTTAGTTTATGAACTAATCTTCATTATACATATATGTGTTTATTAAAAACATGTCCATGGGGCCTTAAAACACATCCCTCACAGATAGGGGGTGGTCTTATATTTGGAGAGAGAAAGAGATGGCTAATTGAAGGCAAGCTGATTTGTAATTGTGATAAAAATGGAGAAGAAACCAAATGGAAATAGATTCCAAAACTGTGATTCCAAATCATAGTTTAGAGTCATTTGCCTTTCTCCACTTAGTGACCATTGTATATTAACAATTAGGTGGGTGAAGTCCTGTGTTGTTTAGTGTGGTAGAAACTGCCCACACAGCTATTTAATGAAAACTGGGTAAAAGTTCTATTGAGTCCCCAGTCCTTGTAGCCACATTTCAGATGTGTGCTCACCACATGTCTAGTCCCAGGTCACCCTGTGAGAAGGTGGGATGCAGAGCAGAGAGAGCTTCTAGACAGGCTGCAGATGGTATCTCCGCATAATTGTGGGTTAGCTGCCTACTAAATTCATTGATTAGGACTTGTTTTAACTTGGATTTGTACAGATTAAACTTTGAAATGTGCAAAAAAAATGTGGCCAAGAGAAGTCATGAAGAAAGAATTTTCATTGTTTTAACTTTTGGGGAAAGTTTTATGGAAAGTTTGTTGGCTGCAATTGGTGCACTTGGTGTCTCTGGCTTATTGCAGGCTCTTTTTTTACAGGGATTTCTTCAGTGCCAACCCCTTCACCCCTTGGACCTCTGGCAGGCTCACCAGTGATTGCTGCTGCCAACTCCCTTGGGATGCCTGTTCCAGCTGCCGCTGGCGCTCAACAGTAATGACCCCCATCCATCTCCTGATGCCTAAGCAGAGGTGGGGAAGTCCACCCTCTCCTTGATGCAGCTTGCGCCTGGTTGGGAGGGGTGAGAACATTTCAGAAGCACCGTGTCTGAACCGTTGCTTGTGGATTTAGTAGTTGAGTCATAAAAAAAATTATAATAGGCTGATTTTCTTTTTTTTTTTTTTTTTTTTTTTTTTTTTTCAACTTGAACTTTTCATAACTCAGGGGATTCCCTGAAAAATTACCTGCAGGTGGAATATTTCATGGACAAAATTTTTTCTTTCCTTCCAAATTCAGTTCATCACCACTAAAGATCAAAGATAAACTTGGCCTCAATCCCAGATGCTGTGTTTGGGGGGAGATTTCTTCCCCTTTCCACATTGCTCTCCCTACATTACTATACTTTTGGGGGTTGGATCTTATGCTCTTCTCCAGAGATTATAAAAATCAAGGAAGGTGGAAAGAAGAAAGGTAGGGAGGATTCAGTCCATCCTGAACACCGTTCTGCTGGTCACATCATCACCTTCTCCAGGACTGCGTCCATGGGTTATTCCAGCTCTGGTGGCAGTGGATCTGTCTTAGTTACATCAAGATGTTAAAAGTCTACCCGACTTGCAGACAGATCCTAAAGCTTTTCTGAATGAATCATGTCTTACTGACCTAACCCTAAATCATTTTAATTTTAGTTTAGTTTAAATCTGTGATACTTTCCTTCCTGGGCTCTTGCTTTGGTCTTTCCCTTTTCATCTCTTGACATACTGTGCTTCATAGCTGGTAGGAAAGGGAAGGCAAAATCTTTTTCAGTTTTCTTTGACTTGGCCATTTTGAAGTCAGTTAGTTACTGGGCGTAATTTATTGCTTTTTAAAAAAGAAATACTGTCCATATAAGTTTCATGCTAGCACTCTTAAGAGCTAACGGGTGATGTGGCCATACTGGGTTCATTTTAAGCTTTGTAATTTTTTTCTCCTCCTACCTTCCCCTTTCTTTATATGCCATCTAGTGAGGAGACCTGCTCTCAGAGTTGTAATTGTGTCTGAGAGGCAGGAGCAGAGCCACTGTCTGCAGTAACCCAGAAATGGTAGACCTGTAATTGTGGGAAACTGTCAGCTCTCTTGTTATGGCCCTGCCATCCCTTGCTGTGTGTATATATATAATACTTTGTCCTTCATATGTGAAAGATCCAGTGTTGGAATTCTTTGGTGTAAATAAACGTTTGGTTTTATTTATCAAGGTTAGATTTAAGTTCCCTGTGTAAAGGTCTCGCTGGGTGGGTATGTCACATTCAAACTTGAGGGGACTACAGCCCATGCCATGGAGGCTTCCCAAGGCCCTCATTTTTATGCACCCCTCGATTGACCCATGATACTGGGCAGGGCAGAGAGGCCTTAAAAAAAAAAAAAAAAAAAAAAAAAAAAAAAATAGCACCACAAGCCAAAGCGTCTCTGGGGATTAAGGATCCTTTGCCATAAAACTCATTCTGTGTCTCAGCATTGCAGGGATTGGGGATAGGACAAGTCACCAGTTTGTGTGTTTGTGTGTGTGTATAAAGTGGACTTTCCACTGTAATCCAGCCACCTAAGTTTATCAGGTGCTTCACTGAGGAAGCCTAGTTTTTTAAGCACAATAACAAAACATCAGCTCTGTATTTTCTCCTCTCGTTTCATTACAATAGCTGCCTATGGGGACTAGGAAAGAAAATCTTCCAACATTTTAAGGCCTAAAGTCTTAGTTCCCCATTCTCCTACCTTTATAGATTCATGAGCCTTTCTCACATGGCATCATAGGTAAAACATGTTTGGTGAATTTAATTAACTTACCTAACATTGTAACCCATCTTGGCTTTAGTAACTTTATCGAGGTGGTGGCTTTAGCGAATGTAATGATAAAGTAAGTAGAGGACGCTAATGCCTTTCTTAACCTTTCTCAACCATAGGGAGAGCTAAAAAGAAAACTTCTGACTGCAGAGTGATTTTTCTTCTTTTTGGCCACTTGCAGTGACTATTTATTGTACTTGATTCTTGTATGCCCTAGTCTGCTGTGAGGGTTACCATGCTGGATTTGTGCAGAGCCGAAAGCACCAGGTGTGCTAGAGATGCAGTTTGTGATTATGTTTGCACTGGATCGTGATTTGAACAAGACATTTAGATGGATGAATTCTTTCTTTTGAGGTGGAAAGGAAGGTTGTAGATCAGGACTCCACACCCTACTTACAGCTCAGAAATCCAGGTGTGTCTGAGGCTGGTGTGGATAGCTACTGATGGCTGGGCCTCCTAACGCTCATCACACCTGCTACAAGAGCTAATGGTGAATGCAGGGGACTCTTAAGTGCCACCTAAGAGCTTTTTAAAATACATAGAAGTTTAAAACAAACAAGGAGTCACTGCAGAAATGTGGAGAGTTTCAAAAGACCTGAATGGGGAGGGGAGTGGAGGGGAGGGGAGGGCCAGGGTTACAGAGTAACAACTTCTGTGTTGTAAATTACCTCATCTGTACACCTTGTATTGGGACACTATTTCTCAGCACTTCCTGTGTCTGCATTGCTTAGATGGTGGGAAATGGATGCCAACATGGAAGAGCTGTGTTGGCAGTTACTCTGAAAGTAGTTTTTAGCTTTGTTTTGAAGTGTCCCTTCCCCCCTTTAAGTTTAAAGACAGAATTCCCCTCTTTGATTTATTGGTTATAATTGTATTGTAATTGGTATGACTAAGACATACTGTGCTGGGAAGAAGTTGTGCCATGAAGGTCTTTAATTTTTTTTAATAAAAACATTTAAATAAATGAAATGTCCCTGCAGCCTCAGCAATATACTTCTCCAACCGACACCGTGTGTGATAAAGGATTGCTTAGTTTTCATGTGATTTGAAGTTAATACTGGGTTGGTGGAGAGGTTAGGCGTGAGAAATTGATATTGGTGGAAGAACCCTAAAGACTTGAGAGTTTTGGTATTGAAGTACAGTGGAAGGGAGTGTGATGGGTGTATTTCATTTATGTCGATACCCCACATGTACTTACTAGGCACATCACATAACTTCTGTTACATAGGGCCAGATGCAGTGAGAATGTATTTATGTCTGGTTAGTTCCTGGTGTTCACTTTGTCAGCTCTTCACAGTACGATTTGGAAGAGGCCCTGCTCTCTTTGGGACCTCTATGTGTTTTAAGGAAGGAGAAACTACATGAGTTGTCTGAGGGCTGGATTTTTTTTTTTTTTTTTTTTAACTTCTAAGTGGTACTTAATTTAAAAATTGGTAACAGCTTGTTTCAGTGAGAACAATATTGATGAACTGTGTTAGAATCCCTATGGATAGTCAACCTTGAAGGTAGCCCAGCTATGAAAGCTGTTTTGCACTCTTAGAGACCTAGGCTCTGTGTGTGTGTGTGTGTGTGTGTGTAGGGGGTGCGTGCTGAACTTGTTCGAGCATACTAGTCACAAGCTGCCATAAAGGGCTGACAATATGTGTGAAACAGGTAACTGACTTATCAGTACCAGTTGAGTCACTCTCTCACAAAAAAAAAAAAAAGAGAGAGCAGGAGAACCCATTTGCTTCTCAGTTTAATCATAGTTGTAAGAACCAGAGAATGCTGGCATCCTGAATTTCTTTTCCTTTGCCTTAAATGTCCACTATATAGGATTTTACAGCTTCAACTTAATTGGAGTTGAGACAATTGGGGATTAAAAAGCTAGGTTTAGGTATAAGAAGCTATCATGTAATATAATTAGAATTGATCATTTAATCCTGAAAAATGTAGTTTGGTTCTCACTCTATACAAACCCCCCCCCCCCCATGAGGTTTTAGTGGTTCTTCAGTAGTCACAAGCCCTTGCCTGCCTTCCTGCTGCTATGGTTCTCCTTAGTGTTGTAGTTTTAAGGAATGTCCCTGGTTATGGGCGGTGTGTGCTAAAGAGATTGTCTGGCTTCTAGGACCATTTCTCTCTTGTTTTTTCAAGACCGGGTTTTTCTGTGTAATAGTCCTTGCTGTCCTGGAAATCACTTTATAGACCAAGCTGGCCTTGAACTCAGAGATCTGCCTACCTCTGTGTTCCGAGTATTGGGATTAAAGATGTATACCACAGCACCAACCTAGAACCATTTCTAGGTTGAGGAAAAACTTAAATTAACCATAAGTCTTTGGGGGTGACAACTTCATTACTCAGAAATCGGGTCTGAAAACTGGGATTATCATGTCCCATGCATGTAATGTTTCCTCTCCTTGCTTCTACTGCTGGCTTTCTTTTTCTTGCCACTTGAACCTTCCTTGTATTATTTTGTTGATATAATTGCCCTTCCCTACCTTGTTTGTCTTACTAAAATCCTTTTTCTAAAATGTAGGCCTTATCATCTCCCGGGATTTAAGAGGGCTGAATGGAATGACATAGTGCTTACTAAATGACTGGTTCCTTGCTCCCACTACCATTCTTCCCTCCCCTCTGCACATTCAAAAAGATGGAATTATCAAAACCTTGTCCTTGGGTTTATAGTTATAATTACAAGTCACAGTCCAGACTGAATCAGTACAACAGGGAAATGTTTATTTAATGAGTCCTAGTGAATAAGTGGGTGAGACTAATAAGCAGAAGATTTAAACACAGAAATTTAGTTTGGTTTTTTGAGTCAGGGTCTGTCTGGAACTGTTGTGTCTATCAGGCTGGCCTTGAACTAACAGGTCTACCTTTTGCCTGAGCGCTGGGATTTCCAGCTAATTTTCTTTTTTTAAGGCCTGTATATAATAATATAAAAATGCAAACTGTTCTCCAAATAAGATGGGTACATAGAGAGTATCACAAGATATTCTGGTTCTGGAGCCCATCTTAACATAAGCAAATATTTTTCAGACTTTGTAGCCTTTCTTTGATGCTGTGAGAAATTTAACCACTTCCAAGAAGCAACCTAGCAGAATTGTAGGTGACCTACTTTTAAACAGAGTTCTGTCTGGCTCTGTGAATTGAGGATAAGTTATTTAGCCTCTCTGAATCTTCTCAAGTAATTTATTATTGTAAGACATTACCAATATGTACCAAGATAAAAAGAAAGCTGTAAAGATCCAGAGAAGGGCAGCCACCCAAGTTGAGTCTTCATTACATGGGAATGGGACCCATTTACCCTCCCTGGTCATAATCACTTCCTGTCCCAGAAGTCCTAATACTTTCTTCATCTAGAAGAGAGAAGAAAAAAATACCTGCTGTATACCTTATATTTTCAGATTAGATGTTAAGTGTGAGTGTGCACCAAGTTTTAGGCTGTAGTAGATTTGAAGCAGATGGTGGCTTTTTACTATTTTGTACAGTTATGTATAGGAAGGCATGTATGGAAAGGCTGTAGGTCTGTGCATCTGAAAAACTGAGTTTTCAGAAAATGGAAGCAACATCTTCACTAGAAAAGAGAAAGTACCAGTTAAGCAGGGCGGGCATCCACCAAATCAGCCAGCATCCTGATTTTCCCAAAGCCTAGCACTGCCGTCTGCTGCTCCTCCCACTCTTCACTTTGCCTCTAGCCATAGTCAGTAGTAGCATTCTTTTTGACCACCATGAACTAGCCCTGCCCTCCACAAAGGCTCTTCCAGAATGGCTAGTCCATTTTTTATAGGAATGACTACAGGGATTGAGGATTTCTCAGGCAGCAGCATTTTTGCTTCACTGCTTTGACCAGAATTTTCTTTGCCTAAAGAAGGGGGGAAGGGAACAATAGTAGCTTCCAAAACCGCTCTGATTCTCAGCCATACATAAAATACTTGAAGCAGAAACCTGGAAAGTGGATGTTGAACTTCTTACGAAAAGGCCTAAACTCTTCATATATCCCATGTAGTCAGCCCAGGCTGGCCTATATACTCTTTGTGTACCTGGGTTGGCCTTGAACTCATGATCTTCCTGCTTCTACCTCCCTGGTACTTGAAGGTGGGCTTTTCTTTCCTACCTGCGAGTTCCCAAATAACCAACACAGAGATTTAATATTAATTGTAAATGCTCCATCAATAGCTCAAGCATGTTACTAGCTAACTCTTTAAGCCATTTTGCCAAGTGGCATTACCTCTTTTTCATCTTGAACCTCCTGTCTCCTTTCCATGTCTGACTGGTAACTCCTGAGTCTACCCTTCTTCCCAGTGTCCTTAGTGTGGTTCTCCTGCCTAACCTTATCCTGTCCAGCTATTGGCCAGTCAGCTTCTTTATTAAATCAATCACAGCAACATATATTCACACAATGCTGGTGTTAATCCCCTTGCCTTCTTCATATGC